GCCCCCCCGCCCCGCCAATGAACGGCGGCGGCGAACTTCCGCACCTCCCGGCCGGGCCGCGCGCGCCCTCCCTCCGCCTCCACCTCCCGGTTGCACAAGCTTGAAACAAACACTGGGGAGGAAGGGCGGAGGGAAGAGGGCGGAGGGGGGAGGCGAGGGAGGGAGCGAGGCTGGGAGGAGGGCGGGGGGTGGGGGGATTTCCAGCCTCGGCTCTTCGCAGTTTCCTCTCCTTGTTTTGCTTTCGATCTGGACTGTTCTCAGGCAAGCCGGGGAGTAACTTTTAGTTTTGCTCCTGCGATTATTCAACTGACGGGCTTTCATTTCCATTTCACACACCCTAGCAACACTTAGACCTTGCGGAATTGTATTGGTAGCGTGAAAAAGCACACTGAGAGGTAACATTTTTTTTCAAATAATAGTTGTGACTGTGCGTGTGTTTCTCTCGAGGGCATGTTTATGGGCACCGGAGGGGCTGTGTGTGTTTGCGTGTCCTGATGCTTCAAACACGCTGTTTTGCAGACGGAAAATGCCGGGGTTCGTAAATGTTAATACCGATTTTTGGAGGAACAGTCGGCGCAGTTATGGATCATCTGATTTTAGGGGAAGCAGGTTCTGCTGCTGTTGCTGCTACTGGGGCCGCTGAGGCTGCGAGGAGGAGGAGAAGGAGGAGGAGGAGGAGGTAGAGAGGGAGGAGGAGGAGGAGGTGGTTGGTGGAGGTTTAATTTCACTTTTGGATTTGCAGATGCGGAGAGGTGGCTCCATGGACACGGACGGGCTGTGTGTGATTCTGCGCCCCAGGTGTTGTTTGTTGGGGTGCAGGTCCCCCGGAGACGGGCCTCATTTAAAACAAAATTGTGTGCGTTGTGCGTGTGTGGGTGCGCGCGCGTGTGTTTACAGCCGCCGCCGCCACCAGGTCGGGAGGGGAGCGGGTCCTTCGCGGAGCCGGCGACGGCGCCTCTCCCCCGGCAGCCTCCGGCGTAAATAAGCAGGCGCTGCTGTCCG